GCGCCGACGGCCGTCGTCACCGCCGCGCTGCCGCCGCCCAGCGGCTGTCGTTATCCTCCTCCTGCTCCTCCTCCTCCTGCTCGTCCTCCTGCTCCTCCTGCTCCTCTCCCTCGTCGTCCTCCTCCTCCCTCTCCTCCTCTTCCTCCTCCTCCTCCTCTTCCTCCTCCTCCTGCTCCTCTTCCTGCTCCTCCTGCTGCTCCTCCTCCTCTTCCTGCTCCTCCTCCTCCTCTTCCCCCTCCTCCTTCTCTGCAGTGGGGATACTCCAGAAGAGTCCAATCAATGACTGACGTTTCCTTGTTTGTGCTAAGTTCATGTTTTTGTTTGATAATTTTCACTATTCAAGAATAGCCCAAAAGATTGTCCCTCTGCAGCAGGAACATTCCGGTTGACCTCATAGGGCGGTGCAATCTATGTGGTCAAGTAATTTCTGTTCGCAGTGGGTTGTCCACTCCACTGCTCGCGCAAACATCCCACCCACCCACCCGCAACTTGGTTTGCAAACCTCATGCGGCGGCGATTGCGATGAGTGCTTGGCGCTGGCTGGTGCATCTCTGCGGCCGCGCCAGCCCGTGCATGCGCGAGCGCAACGGCCAAATAGTTTGGCGCGACCGACGCGGCCGCGATGGCGCTGACCGGTCGGCACATCCAGGCGGGCCTTTGAGTGCGAGTCGGCGACTTGGGCGGGCGCGGTATCATGGCAACGTCGACAGTTGTAGACGCGATGGTGATGATAGTAGCGATGTTGGTGACGATGCTGACAACGACGACGGCACGGCCAGTGACGGCGCCGATGCCGATCACCCCGACGACGGTGACGGCGTCTTCGCGTCGGTGATGAAGGTTTTGACAGGAATTCGAAATGCGCGCGCGGCAGACGCGCGAGAGTGGCTCGCATGGTGTTATTTGACGCGGATCGTGCCACCCCCAGCACGCGCGCAAGGGCGTTCGAACGATTTCGACATGCGCGCGCGAAGCCTGTTTGGTAGTATTTTCTAGAAACTTGGAAACACATGGTTTTCACAAGAATTCGCAAGAGCGCGCGCGTGTATTATTTGTTGAAACTCCGTGTTGCGAAACCGTTTTTGCTGTACGTGTTTTGGACACTCGATTTTGACATCGTTCTGAAACCGAAGGTTTTTGAAGGATTTCGGCTTGCGCGCGCGCCGACGCGCGCTCGGGCACTTCGTCACATTTGTTGCAAAGGGTTCTCGCGACGGCACGCGCGCAAGGGCGTTCGAACGACTTCGACAAGCGCGCGCGACACCCGTTTGGTTGTATTTTCTTGAAACTTGAAAACCTATGGTTTTCTTAAGAATTCGCAAGAGCGCGCGCATGTTTTTCTGGTTTTGTTTTTAATGTTTTTCGAAATCCGCGTTGCGAGACATTGTGGTTTAAATGTTTTTTTGGGCACTCGATTTTGAAATCGCTCCAAAACCTAAGGTTCATGAAAGATTCCGGCACGCGCGCGCGCGACAACGCGCGCGTGCGCACTTCGGCACGCGTGCGCACATGCAATTTTTGTTGCCGAGGATGCCGGGAGGCGACAATGAGCGCCTCGCTCAAGACATCCTCCCAATCTGTTCCGACAGCGGAGGATGTCGGCCACCAAACCAGGCAAACCGCTCGAGACATCCCCGCCATTTTGGCGCGAACGGAGGAGTGTCATACCCCCTGGCGGCTCTTACTTGGAGGCGAAAATGAGCGCCTCGCTCGAGACATCCTCCAAATCTGCTCCCAAAGCGGAGGATGCCGGCCACCAAACCAGGCAAACCGCTCGAGACATCCCCGCCATTTTGGCGCGAACGGAGGAGTGTCATACCCCCTGGCGGCTCCCCCTTGGAGGCGAAAGTGGGCGCTTCGCTCGAAACATCCTCCAAATCTGCTCCGAAAGCGGAGGGTGTCGGCCACCAAACCAGGCAAACCGCTCGAGACATCCCCGCCATTTTGGCGCGAACGGAGGAGTGTCATACCCCCTGGCGGCTCCCACTTGGAGGCGAAAATGAGCGCCTCGCTCGAGACATCCTCCAAATCTGCTCCCAAAGCGGAGGATGCCGGCCACCAAACCAGGCAAACCGCTCGAGACATCCCCGCCATTTTGGCGCGAACGGAGGAGTGTCATACCCCCTGGCGGCTCCCCCTTGGAGGCGAAAGTGGGCGCTTCGCTCGAAACATCCTCCAAATCTGCTCCGAAAGCGGAGGGTGTCGGCCACCAAACCAGGCAAACCGCTCGAGACATCCCCGCCATTTTGGCGCGAACGGAGGAGTGTCATACCCCCTGGCGGCTCCCACTTGGAGGCGAAAATGAGCGCCTCGCTTGAGACATCCTCCAAATCTGCTCCCAAAGCGGAGGATGCCAGGCACCAAACTTCCGAGAGAGTATGATTATGAGTGAGTCTGAATGTGAACAATTATGAATAGTATGAGTGCGAAGGAATCTGAGTATGAACGAATCTGAGTAGGAGGAGGCGAGACTGGGAGGAGGCCTGACTGAGAGGTCGGCGGCGTCAGTGTAATGATTCACTGCGTGGAGCTCCCCATACGTGCATCTATTCGCATGGACCTGTCCGCCGTGAGAGTCTAGGCGCAAGAGTTTTCGAATATAAGCGGGCTTGAGTTGTGACGGTCTGGTCATGAATCTAACTTCGAACGGATTGGAGCGTGAATGAGTCTCGGTAGTACGAGTGCGTCTCTGCGCATGAGCTTGGGGCCTCCTGGGGCCTCCAGAAACCTCCTGGGCTTTCCTGGGGCCTCCAGGAGCCTCTTGTGGCCCCCATGGTCTCTTGGGGCTTCGAGTGGCCTCCTGAGGCCTCCTGGAGCCTCGCGTAGCGTCCTGGAGCCTCCTGGAGCCTCCTGGGACCTCCTAGGGAGGATTCGTGCCCCAGGAGAAGCCCGATCTTTAGGAACAGACGTACATAAAACATTGCGGATTGGAGCCACAGGAGAAGGGCAGTCTGTAGGAGCACACGTAAAACACCAAGGATTCGTGCCCCAGGGGAGGCCGAACATATAGGAACAGAGATGCAAACCATTTAGGATTGCATACACAGGAGAAGGACAAGCTATAGAAACATACGTATAACATCAAGGATTCGTGCTCCAGGTGAGGCCCAATCTATAGGAGCATATGTAAAACACATGGGATTGGAGCCACTCCTGTTGCCTTCTGAGGCCTCCTGCTCCTGGGGCCTCTCGGGGCCTCCTGTTGCCTGGGCCTCCTGGCGCTTCCTGTGGCCTCCTGGGGCCTCCTGTAGCTTCCTGAGGCCTCCTGGAGCTTCCTGGGGCCTCCTGGAGCCTCCTGGGACATCCTGTGGCCTCTTGAATCTTCCTGTGGCCTGATGCCTCCTGGGACCTCATGCGGCCTCCTGGGGCCTCCTGAAGCCTGCTGGAGCCTCCTGTGGCATCGTTGGGAGAATCTGTGCCCACGAGTCTGGCCACCAAAACAGGCAAACCGCTCGAGACATCCTCAACATCTGGCCCCCCTGGGGGGCGAAAATAAGTGCCTCGCTCGAGACATCCTCCAAATCTGCTCCGAAAGCGGTGGATGTTGGCGACCAAAACAAGCAAACCGCCTGAGACATCCCCGCAGTTTGGGCGCGAACGGAGGCCGTGCAATACCCCTGGCGGCCCCACCTTAGGAGGCGCCTCGCACGAGACATCCTCAGAATGTGCTCCGAAAGCGGAGGATGTTGCGGACCAAAACAGACAAACCGCCTGAGACATCCCCACCATTTGGGCGCGAACGGAGGCCGTGCAATACCCCTGGCGCCCCCCCTAAGAAGTGCTAGAACCAGTAAACCGCTCGAGACATCCTCATCATCTGCTCATCATCGTCATCATCATCATCATCATCATCATCATCATCATCACCATCATCATCACCATCATCATCATCATCATCATCATCATCATCATCATCATCATCATCATCGTCATCATCATCAGCATCATCATGATCACATCATCATCATCATCATCATCATCATCATCATCATCATCATCATCATCATCATCACATCATCATCAGCATCAGCATCAGCATCAGCATCAGCATCAGCATCATCATCCTCATCTCTCACCTCACTCATACCCAGTCCATGGTATGGGTGGTCCGGCGCGGTCGGAGAACAAGAAGAACCGCATCTTTTGGATATGGGGAACAACAAGAACCCCATCTTAGGATACGGGGAACAACCAACTTGTTTCGCCTCCTGAGTGCCTCGTGGGAGTCCTTTTGACAGGATTTTGGCCGTCTTGAAGCCCTTTTGGGCTGTCTCCAAGCCATGTTGGACCAATTTTGAAACGTTCTTGTGCGATCTTGAACTCTCTTAGAGCGCTCTTGGGCCATCTTGGCGCACTCTTGGGCGTCTCTCGGCCCCCTTTGCCGTTTTTTTGGCGGCGCCCGATCCGCTGGGCCCGACACGGCCGGAAGATAAATCAGTGCTTTTCTGGGGCCCGGCACCCCGGGGCACGGAGTGGGCGTGTCTTCAGGTCCTTTGCCTAACCCTCTAAGCCTCGGCCTTCACTCCTGGGGGATATTTCAGGGCCGGGACCCCAAAATCTGAAAAATCTTCGAGGGTTTGGGGCGCTTCCCTTGGGCCTTGGATTGTTTCCCCGCGTCATTTTTTCGGGCCCACGAAGGCGCCAACACAGGCCCAGATGGCCCCAAGATGCCTACGAGACGGTCGAAGAGGGCCCCGGGTCGTCGAAAGATCGCCCCAAGACTTCAAAGATGGCCTCAAGATGGCCCAAGGAGCCTCCAAGGCGCCCCAAGAGGCCTCCCAAGAGGGCCCTAAAATCATTGATTTCCCCTTCGGCTTTCGACACATTTTTACCTTCCTTCCCGTCGCTCCAAGACTGCCTGGGAGGTCCCCAAGATCGCCCCATGACGGCCGTAGCCATTTGGGCTCAAGCCGCTCTGGCACGAGAGGCCTCTGCATCCGAGCACGGCTCCCCGAGTACCACGAATCACGAAGCGTTCGAGCTCGGCGATCGGCCAAGCCATGTTGACGTGCGACCTTGGCGGCTGTCTGGAGGGCACCCCCAGCCGCGTGACCCCCGTGAGCTTCGACCCGCGCGCCATGGCCACGGGGAGCGTCGTCTACGGCGAGGCTCTGGGCGGGCCGATGCGGGTGGTGCTGCACCCCCCCGAGGAGGAGGTCCCGTGGCCTGCGCGCCTGGTGCAGCTGCCGAGCTCGGGGGAGGGCACCGGCTCGGAGGCTCCAGCGTTCCAGCCGAAGACGAAGACGCAGCGGCGCCGCATGCAGCGCGCGATCATGAGGGACGCGGTCTTCGCTGCCCTGACGGGCCAGGGCGCGCCCCAGCCGTCGCGTCCCGCCCCGCAGAGTGGCCTGGGCGCCGGAGGCCCCCGCACCGTCGATCAGAGCGAGGGTGCGCTGGCCTGCGTCCTCTGAGCTCTGCCCGTAGGGCGCCAGCACGTCCGATGCGGATCGGCGGCTCTCCAGGCGAGCAGCCGTGGGATGAGAGGGATCGGGAGGGCGGGGGTCCTGGGCCCTGGACCACTCCCAGGGGGACCAGCCTTTCAGTGCAGGCCACACGAGCGGTTCGAGGCATTCCGCGATTCCTTGTCTGCCGGACGGCTCGATGCCCTCCTCTCTTCTGTCCTCCTCTCTCGTCTTTCTATCCCGATTCCTCGCAGTGCTCGCCCTCTTCTCCATATTGCGAAGGCCTGACGGCCGGTGCCGCCGACCCTGTTCGCAATGCGCAGCAAGAGATTACGAGGTTGCTCAAGGTCGGCTTGGCTGGAGCCCAGGGGAAGAGGAGTCCCAGGGGGGGGCGTCGTATCTGACCCGGGGGGGGGGTCGCTACCCCCCCCCCCTCCCGGCGGGGGAGGGATCAAAGGGAAGGGGCTTCCCTTCGACTCAATTACGAGGTTGCTCAAGGTCGGCTTGGCTGGAGCCCAGGGGAAGAGGAGTCCCAGGGGGGGGCGTCGTATCTGACCCGGGGGGGGGGTCGCTACCCCCCCCCCCTCCCGGCGGGGGAGGGATCAAAGGGAAGGGGCTTCCCTTCGACTCAATTACGAGGTTGCTCAAGGTCGGCTTGGCTGGAGCCCAGGGGAAAAGGGTCCCAGGGGGGGCGTCGTATCTGACCCGGGGGGGGGGTCGAACCCCCCCCCCCAGCCCCTCCTGGCGGGGGAGGGATCAAAGGGAAGGGGCTTCCCTTCGACTCAATTACGAGGTTGCTCAAGGTCGGCTTGGCTGGAGCCCAGGGGAAGAGGAGTCCCAGGGGGGGGACCCGGCGGGGATTGATCACGGAAGGGGAAGAGTTGCTCAAGGTCGGCTTGGCTGGAGCCCAGGGAAGAGACCCCGGGGGGGCGTCGTATCTGACCCGGGGGGGGGGTCGACAAACCCCCCCCCCCCCCCCGGCGGGGGAGGGATCAAAGGGAAGGGGCTTCCCTTCGACTCAATTACGAGGTTGCTCAAGGTCGGCTTGGCTGGAGCCCAGGGAAAAGGAGTCCCAGGGGGGGCCGTATCTGACCCGGGGGGGGGGTCGACACCCCCCCCCCCCTCCCGGCGGGGGGAGGATCAAGGGAAGGGGCTTCCCTTCGACTCAATTACGAGGTTGCTCAAGGTCGGCTTGGCTGGAGCCCAGGGGAAGAGGAGTCCAGGGGGGGGGCTCGTATCGACCCGGGGGGGGGGGTCGACACCCCCCCCCCCCTCCCGGCGGGGGAGGGATCAAAGGGAAGGGGCTTCCCTTCGACTCAATTAGGAGGTTGCTCAAGGTCGGCTTGGCTGGAGCCCAGGGGAAGAGGAGTCCCAGGGGGGGGCGTCGTATCTGACCCGGGGGGGGGGGTCGCCCCCCTTCTCCCGGCGGGGGAGGGATCAAAGGGAAGGGGCTTCCCTTCGACTGAATTACGACGTTGCTCAAGGTCGGCTTGGCTGGAGCCCAGGGGAAGAGGAGTCCCAGGGGGGGGCGTCGTATCTGACCCGGGGGGGGGGGTCGCTACCCCCCCCCCCTCCCGGCGGGGGAGGGATCAAAGGGAAGGGGCTTCCCTTCGACTCAATTACGAGGTTGCTCAAGGTCGGCTTGGCTGGAGCCCAGGGGAAGAGGTCTCCCAGGGAAAGGGAAGGACAGAGACGACGAGTACAAAGAATGACGGAGATGACGGCTCGAACGGAAAAGCCCCTCACACACGCCGACAGGGTCGGCGGATTTTCTCCACGTAGCGTTGTTTCGACATGGTTTGTCCGAGGGCACTCTGTGGGTGGACCCCCCCGAGCGCTGCACGTTTCAGCATACGGTTTGAAGCCGACTCGGGTTCGAGTCTAAGTTTTTCACAGCAGGCGCGACCAGTGCAAGCAATCCCCGGCTACGGATTGCCCTTCGCGCTCAAATGCGTGGCGCTCGGGGTGCCCTGAGGGCTCGACGGCACCCTCTCCTGTCGCTGATTCTGTCTTGGCCACTCGAGTCCGTTGCTTGACCAGGGCAGCCGTGCCGCCGCCGTCGGAGCAGCTCCGTGGCGGCGGTGTGGCCACAAACGTCACACTGCAGTTCAAACTTGTGCACGGGGAGGACGGCCAGAAGCGCCCATCTTCGCTTGAGCACCAAGGCGAGCATCGGGCCGCCTTACCGGGGTCTCTCTGACGTTGCCCCACGATCACGGAGAAGTAGTCTTCGCCGGTTACTTCGCCAGATGCCGTGGTCCTTTTGAAGTTACCTTCCGAGTAGAAGTGCGCGCATCGCGTGAGCAGAAATTAGGCTGCGCTGGTTGCTTCGCCAGATCGCATCCTCCCGTTCCGTCAGAGGTGGGTAATTGCGCCGCACAGAAAAAAAATGACGGCTTCAGAGGGCCCCAAGACGGCCCAAGAGGGCCTTAAGACGACCCAAGAGGGCCCCAAGACAGCCCAAGAGGCGCCGAAGACGGCTCCAAGAGGGGTCCAGATGGGGAACCCGAACGGACATTTTGAACCCTCGGCCCCGAAGGGCACCCAGGAGACCCCAAGAGGCCCCCAAGAGGCCCCCAAGAGGTCCCCACGAGGCCCCAAGAGGCCTCCAAGAGGCTCCCAAGAGGCCTCCAAACTGCCCAATAGGCCTCCGAAGGCGCTCCGACGAGACCCCAAGAAGATTTCTGAGAACTCTGACCCACAGCCCTGGCACGGTGGCGGGATGGGCCGAAGGACATTATATCCGCCGCCCCCATGGTCTCTTGGGGCTTCGAGTGGCCTCCTGAGGCCTCCTGGAGCCTCGCGTAGCGTCCTGGAGCCTCCTGGAGCCTCCTGGGACCTCCTAGGGAGGATTCGTGCCCCAGGAGAAGCCCGATCTTTAGGAACAGACGTACATAAAACATTGCGGATTGGAGCCACAGGAGAAGGGCAGTCTGTAGGAGCACACGTAAAACACCAAGGATTCGTGCCCCAGGGGAGGCCGAACATATAGGAACAGAGATGCAAACCATTTAGGATTGCATACACAGGAGAAGGACAAGCTATAGAAACATACGTATAACATCAAGGATTCGTGCTCCAGGTGAGGCCCAATCTATAGGAGCATATGTAAAACACATGGGATTGGAGCCACTCCTGTTGCCTTCTGAGGCCTCCTGCTCCTGGGGTCTCTCGGGGCCTCCTGTTGCCTGGGCCTCCTGGCGCTTCCTGTGGCCTCCTGGGGCCTCCTGTAGCTTCCTGAGGCCTCCTGGAGCTTCCTGGGGCCTCCTGGAGCCTCCTGGGACATCCTGTGGCCTCTTGAATCTTCCTGTGGCCTGATGCCTCCTGGGACCTCATGCGGCCTCCTGGGGCCTCCTGAAGCCTGCTGGAGCCTCCTGTGGCATCGTTGGGAGAATCTGTGCCCACGAGTCTGGCCACCAAAACAGGCAAACCGCTCGAGACATCCTCAACATCTGGCCCCCCTGGGGGGCGAAAATAAGTGCCTCGCTCGAGACATCCTCCAAATCTGCTCCGAAAGCGGTGGATGTTGGCGACCAAAACAAGCAAACCGCCTGAGACATCCCCGCAGTTTGGGCGCGAACGGAGGCCGTGCAATACCCCTGGCGGCCCCACCTTAGGAGGCGCCTCGCACGAGACATCCTCAGAATGTGCTCCGAAAGCGGAGGATGTTGCGGACCAAAACAGACAAACCGCCTGAGACATCCCCACCATTTGGGCGCGAACGGAGGCCGTGCAATACCCCTGGCGCCCCCCCTAAGAAGTGCTAGAACCAGTAAACCGCTCGAGACATCCTCATCATCTGCTCATCATCGTCATCATCATCATCATCATCATCATCACCATCATCATCACCATCATCATCATCATCATCATCATCATCATCATCATCGTCATCATCATCGTCATCATCATCAGCATCATCATGATCACCATCATCACCATCATCATCATCATCATCATCATCATCATCATCATCATCATCATCATCAGCATCAGCATCAGCATCAGCATCAGCATCAGCATCAGCATCATCATCCTCATCTCTCACCTCACTCATACCCAGTCCATGGTATGGGTGGTCCGGCGCGGTCGGAGAACAAGAAGAACCGCATCTTTTGGATATGGGGAACAACAAGAACCCCATCTTAGGATATGGGGAACAACCAACTTGTTTCGCCTCCTGAGTGCCTCGTGGGAGTCCTTTTGACAGGATTTTGGCCGTCTTGAAGCCCTTTTGGGCTGTCTCCAAGCCATGTTGGACCAATTTTGAAACGTTCTTGTGCGATCTTGAACTCTCTTAGAGCGCTCTTGGGCCATCTTGGCGCACTCTTGGGCGTCTCTCGGCCCCCTTTGCCGTTTTTTTGGCGGCGCCCGATCCGCTGGGCCCGACACGGCCGGAAGATAAATCAGTGCTTTTCTGGGGCCCGGCACCCCGGGGCACGGAGTGGGCGTGTCTTCAGGTCCTCTGCCTAACCCTCTAAGCCTCGGCCTTCACTCCTGGGGGATATTTCAGGGCCGGGACCCCAAAATCTGAAAAATCTTCGAGGGTTTGGGGCGCTTCCCTTGGGCCTTGGATTGTTTCCCCGCGTCATTTTTTCGGGCCCACGAAGGCGCCAACACAGGCCCAGATGGCCCCAAGATGCCTACGAGACGGTCGAAGAGGGCCCCGGGTCGTCGAAAGATCGCCCCAAGACTTCAAAGATGGCCTCAAGATGGCCCAAGGAGCCTCCAAGGCGCCCCAAGAGGCCTCCCAAGAGGGCCCTAAAATCATTGATTTCCCCTTCGGCTTTCGACACATTTTTACCTTCCTTCCCGTCGCTCCAAGACTGCCTGGGAGGTCCCCAAGATCGCCCCATGACGGCCGTAGCCATTTGGGCTCAAGCCGCTCTGGCACGAGAGGCCTCTGCATCCGAGCACGGCTCCCCGAGTACCACGAATCACGAAGCGTTCGAGCTCGGCGATCGGCCAAGCCATGTTGACGTGCGACCTTGGCGGCTGTCTGGAGGGCA